GTTCCACATTCTTGATAATCAGTTTTTCATATTCCATTTGGGAAAAAAAACTCGGAAATCCGCGCCCACATCTATCATTTCATTTTTTTTTTTGGTAAGTAATCTATCATTTCATTTTTCGTCTTGAGTATCGTCTATAATTTTGATGCGATGTCACTTAATGGATCGTGCCTCTTCACTTTATTATTTCTGCTTCCTTAATTAAGTTTTCGAAAAAAAAAGAAGGAAATGTTTAGTGTAGGAAATGCTTTTCTTAATTATAAGCATGCAACATATCCCATTGTATGGCTAAATACGAAATTGAGATAGATTAACAGCGACATGAATTCTAGCACAGTGTATGATTGTAACATGATTATCTTCACAGAATAGAAAACCTCAATGACATTGCAAAAACTGAATTTTGTGTCTATCTTATAAAGATACAACCATTCGAAACTGAAAGCTGTCACAGTGAGACATGAATTCCTTTCCTAGATGGAAACACAACATACCCCTGAAAGCAGCTCCGGACTTGTATCTGCATAGGAAGGGGATTTATCTAGGACTTTGGTCTTCTCTCTGAGAGTGCCAAACGAATTGGCAATAGCTTGAACATATGTAGCAATTTTATAGGTGAAACAATCCTACTAACATTGGTGTTAGCTCCAAATGCATTCTTCCATATTATGTAACAAGGATCCTGCGCCAAGATTAATGCGGTTAAGCACAGCAGCGGTGTACAACCGCTGCAGCAGACAATATGTCTGTTTGCCGGGGAAAACAAAAAATGTGGAACAAAGATTCAGCGTCGCCTCTTCAAAATGTTCTGGATGCACAAGTCCAGTAAAGAAAACGAAAGAAACAGCAATTTCATGCAGAATAGAGGGTGGACTCAGTTCACACTTCACACGACATTAGCAAGTTCTGCGGAGTGTGGACTAGTCTTAAAACTTTTTGCCTTGGCTTTTCATGATTACCTGCACATTATATGTCAATGTAACGAAACACTCTTCTAAATGATGAATACAGCAGCTTGCACACCACCATAACTGGATCACCAGAAAACAGGTGAGCTGGATATTTGATTCACCGTAAATTAAAAGTCAAGGTGGACAAGTAGAAAATTCTCCACAAGTAAACAAAGTAGCCAGCAAAGGTGGACCCATGTTGTCTGCTTTGCCAAGCAAAGATAACACCACGGGGGTATTTTTATTGGGAAAATCAAATCAAGGTACACCACGAGGGCGTATGCTACAAAACTGAAATGTTGTTAAATGAAGGAACAGTTTTCTGACAAAAGTCAACGGCTAAGATTGCGCTATCCGGTGTCTCTGTCACACCAATTTTGAAGGAGCATAAGTATACACATAGAGAGGAATCAGTTGTCAGGATCATAGTCCAGTTTTCCAAGCTTGAATGAACCAAAGACGACAGTTCGCACAGGCAGCTCCTTAAGCAAGACCTCCGGTGCTAATAGATCTATTAAATATGCATCCAAGCAGCATCGGTACATAATTATTAAACCACATCCCTATGATTTCACTTGAACCACTCTTGCAATGATTTTTTCCATCAATATTCGCAGTCGGTGCTCCTACATACGATCCACACTGAACAACTCCAGCAACTACCTGCACCGCCAATGACCATTGTATCCAGTGCGAACAAACACACTGCATCTTAACGATATTCTCCATCAACTGTAGCTCAATGTAGAGTCAAAACAGAAGACCAATTACATACTTCATCATCCCCTTAGTGCCATCTTTCTCCCAAGCATACTTATGTAAAGCAGGGAACCAAGAGACCCGGCACCGTAGCTGAATAATAAGCAGAATGCAAGCGCAGAGATGTGCGTAGCAAGGTTTGCAAGCAAGTCAGCATTATCAAAATGTGATCCCTTTAACACGCTTAAGCGTGATTCAGAAGCCTTTTCCTCGGAGCTTTTGGAGCAGCTTATGATCACTCATAATCCCCGCTACCAAGCATGATTCCATGCAGAAAGTCATTGACAACAGAAGTCGCGTAGACCGAGTTTGCCTATAATTCTACAAAGACAAAAAGTAGATGCTGGTGAGATCGTGAGCTGGAACACGCTTTGTTACGTGTTAAAGATTCCTGTTAAGGTTAAGAAAAAAGTTTGTTTAGCTATTCCTCTCGTTTTACATGTAATTAAACTTTTTTTTAAAAAATATAGACAATCAAAATCCTTTGCAGCCCGTACTAGGAAGACTATATGTTTAAGTAAAATGGGGTAAATCATTCCACATTTTGCAACCGGTGAGCTGTGTCCTTTTCCATATTTTCTAATGTTTTGTCGAATCATTTCTCAATATTCTTGCCGCGTGGCAAGATCGTCTTTCTTTTTCTTTTTTTCAATTGGCACACGTGCTAAGGGTGTAACTGGTAAAGAATATTGATAAATATAGGATGGTGTAGAATAGATTCGTCGTGGACTCATGGACAAAGCCAAACATGTTTAAGGACCTGCTCGAACACAAAACCTGACAAGTTTTCTAAGTGAGAGTATGATATTTTGGTTAAGTTGAACTCGGTTTACGAATCACGATAACTTACTTTTGTTCATATTCATGTTTCTTCAACTCTGCATTTAGCATCCCGTTATTGATTACCCCCATTATGTTTCGAGAGTTCCCCGAACTATAGCCCTTGTTGGGTATAAAAATGCTAAAAGAGGAAAAATTTTGCCAAATTTGAAGTTGAATATCGCTAGCATGTACGGATTTTCCATCTCCAAAAGAGGTTCCACTTTAAATCTGAAGCAGATTCTCATGACAAGGTAACCAATTTTGCTGCAAAAGTTCAATTTTTGAGCTTGGAGCATGTCTTTCATGGTAGAAGACATCTGCTTGTGCGAGCGTGCTCACTAAGCAAAGGATGCACGTTTCTTTCTTCCTCTGGCTATAAATTGTCTTAGATTGGCACATGCACGTGAACATTAATTTTTTATTTAATCGGGTGACCGGACAAAAGTCCTACCATCGACACTATAGTACTTGTTTTGTTCATTGAACCATTATTTCAATATTTTCTTTTTCCCTTTTTTTCTATGACGATGAACTTTCAACTTTGTTGCTTCGGGTTTTCCCTCGATCTTATCTCCAGATTTTTGCTTGCTTTCTCCATTTTCTCCCCTCCCTTGTCAGAGAGTTAATCCAAAGACTTGAATCAGCTATTTGCTAGATGAAATTCTAGGCCGTATACTATTCCCGTTGATATCAAAACTACACTTTCATATATGAGTTAGGCTAGCAAAGTAAACTAGATTTTAATTTTTTTTTTTAACATACTCATCCTCATGAAAACTACTTAAGCCTAATTTCGTCAGCTATCATGATAGAAGAAATTCGCGTTTTTTCTCGTTAACATCCAATATTGTGAAGTTCTTACATCTCATTTATGAAAATAGCATTTACTTTCTTACGCGTTCATCGAATGTAAACTTATTGACAAGTTAAAATTAATAAGTCACGCGTATTGGCCCGCCCAAGATAACACTGTCTCTAGACAATTGTCTTGCTTGCAACCGAATGTTGTTTTCAAAGTATGAGTATTGCATAGCTTAAGAGAAACAAATACTTCGAAAAGGGAAACTTTTTACTACCGATTGCCTAACAAGTGCGTAGCATTTGGTTAAGTATCTATTTATGAAAATCCAATTACATCGGCTAGTGATGCCATCCCTACCAACTCTTAATTCAAAACGTATTCATAGTTGGCCAACAACAATAAAGTACAGAATAACAAAAGAAAATAAATAAATAAAAGAAGACAAGTTACGTAATAAAAAATTGGATAAAATTGCAAGTACGCATATTTTCGAGGACCTAAAAAATATTCCAATTTTTCAAGGAATAGAAACTTTCACCGTTATGATTTTTATTCACGCAGTTAACACCAAAATGCGGGAAACCGACCAACACATAAAGTAGACACCTCATCAAGGTGAAATGAAGTCGTTTAGCACAAATAAATAAATAAAAAAAACGGCACAATCTTTTAGTCTTTTTAATCAAGGATTCGTCTGATTCAGTGAGAAAAGAGATAAAAGGAATGGAGCAATTCAAAATGAAAGGGCCAAGCTTGTGAACCGAGTTCTTCTTGTCCCGAACCAATAATTAGTGCTCCAACTCGACGATTTCGATCTAATTCGTCAATTTGCATGGAAGGATAAGTTAATGGTGGGCATTTTGTCTTTAAGCAAAAGTTCACCCTTTTTTTTTGAAAAGCGAGGATATTTTTGTCTAATGTGTATATATTTCGGACATATACTCTATTAGTTTGTGATTGTCAGGACGTGCGTAATATAAAATAAAATAAAATAAAATAAAAGTACTCGGCAGTGGAAATTATGAGTAATAATGAACTGATCCAAAAGCTTCGAGGGAGAGGCTTGTATATCATGCTTAATCATTTTAAATCACTCGTTAATCGGCAGTTAATTTCATATTCACATTATATGATGTTATCACATGTGAAAATGATGCCGTATGTGTATGCATATAAATATATATATATATATATATATATATATATATATATATATATATATATATAATATAAGACGATCGAGATATTTTCCTAATAATGTGTCTTGGGATAGCCTTAATTATTACGAAAAAATTTAACAGTGAAGCGAAATTGAGTTGGCCTTCGGTGAATTCGAATTTCGATTGAGACAAAACGATTAAAGCAAATCGAAAGCGTGAGCTATAATGATCCAATTTTATATACCCAAAACATTAATTCTTAAATCATCAAGCCTCGACTGAAGCCGACGATTGCATGTTTCAAATGTACCAAGTTCACATCAAAATTCTGCATTTCGGGCTAACAAAATTGGAATTATAATGTAATTTGATTCGCGAGCGATTGAATTTGGGTGCCCCGAATCAAATGTCGGGTCCGACCCGTGACCCGTCCGATGCAACTATAAAAGCAAATGGCGGAAAGACTTCTCTTTTTGGGTTTTGAAAAAGGATTTCCTCCAGGTGCGCGCTTCGCAACTCATTTCCTCCTCTCTCTCGCTCTCGCTCTCGCTCTCTCTCACGGACGCACGCAAACACAATCGCCGACGATCTTCCCTCACTTCATTCGCTTACTCTACTCTGCGTAGTCGAAACCTCTCTCTCACTTTGATCGTTCTTCGTGTTGATTTTGCAGAGCCGATTCAGTCTCACACGACCGATTCCTGGTGAGTGATCGCTCCTCATTCCCATTTCGGTCGTGAATTCGGCATTAGGTTTCAATTTCCGTGGCATTTGAGGCGATTGTAGCTGCATGTTGATGATGATCGTAGATTGTAGAGGCGATCGCAGCGATCGATCTATTTCTTACTCTCTGTTTTTTTCTTCTTCTCCGGATAGTCGATATAGACTTTGTAGAGTCTTTCATTCCACGTACTTGACTCTGCGAAACCCTCTCTCTTCCTTGATCTTTGATCCTTCTTTGTTTTGATTTGCAGAGCGCATCTAGTTGCCCGACCCGATCGATTCTGGTGAGTGATCGGTCCTTTTTTCGCATTTCTGTCATGGATTCGTCGGTTGTTGCAATAGGTTTCCATTTCGGTGGCATTTCAGGTGTTTTTTTGTTGCATGTTGACGATGATGATTGTAGATTGTAGAGGCGATCGCAATGATTGATCTATTTCTCTCTTTCTGTTTTCTTTTTCGGTTAGTTGATGCTCTGTTACTGTGTGTGTCTGCTGTTCCGCTGCATTGAGAGAGAATTTTTTTTTTAATGTGTTAATTTAGTTCTGGAATCACTAGTGAATCGCAATGAGTAGGTCTCTGGTTTTTGGTACTCCAGGCGTGCCTCGTTAGTTCTTCGGCTTGTTGTTCGTATGTGAATTGGGGAGGTGTAGAGGTTTATGGCGGTTGATCTATGCTGCGTCGTTATCGGAGCATTCCACTATATTGAGCATTGTTTGTGCTGCTGACTGAAATGGTTTTAAGAATGCTAGCAATACGCTTCATATTGTGAAAATGTAATCTGTTCTTCGGTATCTCGTTAAAGAAGCAAAAACTGCAAGAGAATTAGAAGATTTCACTTATTATACTTCATATCTGCCCTTTAGAACAAACAATACCGATCTTATTCCCGTGACATTTCTTTTTGGATCCTTAAATTCAGGGCAGGTTCTCTTCCTCATATCTTAAATCTGTCGTTTATCTGATTGTGCCCAAATATTCTGGTTACCCCTTATGCTGATAAGATTTCTTGCTATTTATTATCCTGTACTCTCAAACGTCATCACTCAAAACTTCCATTTTCTGCAATGTTGTTGAGGTTTTCTTTTCGGTGAAGATAGTCATTTTACAATCACGCAGCATGCTTGAATTCGAAAAGCATCCATCCCCTTAGTCAAGGGCTAGTCTGCAAATTTTCCTGTTTTCATGTAGCAATGCTCCCTATTCATATTCACTAAGCAGCCGAGAAGCAAAACCCAACCAAAATGCAGCAAATTAATAAGTTCTCCATATGATAATAACGTTTAATGTCAACTTACCAGAAGCTATGGGTAGACTATTTTCATTAATTGATGTTATAAATAAATAAAATATGGAAGTACTCATTGTCCTAACACATATTTATGTACTTCAATCAGGATTAAAAGGCTCTCTGACCTATGTTTGATACGGTTTCTTAATCTAAATTGTCGTTTTCTCTCTTTCCCATGTCATTTCATTTCTCTTCTCCTTATCACTGTCCCCTCCATTTTGGCAGACTAGCCCTCTTCGGCATGGCGCCCCCACTTGCCCGCCAGCTACTCCTGGCCCAACAGGAGTTCAGAGAGGCCCAAGCTAAGTTTGTAGATGCCAAGCATCGTAACAACCGTGCCCTAAACAAGAAGTGAGTACTGATATTTGATGATTATGTAGATTATAGCCCATAACATCTATGTTTTCTCTCCTTCAGGCGATACTTGCTTCGTGCCGCTAAGCAAAGGCGCGATGCGGCTGTATTGAGGTTGGAGAGAGTGGAAGGAGAGATCAAAAACAAGCAATGTCTGTTCCTGCACAATGTGGAGCAGGTCCACGCGGTGGTCGAGCTTCTGGAGAACCTCCACCACCGTGGGCGCCTCCACCGTGTGGAGATCAAGTGCCGCGAGGTGGAGGTAGCCCGGGAGATGCAGCAGGCTCTACAAGAGTATGGATTTAAGTAAGTTTCTGTTGAATTTCGGGTTTAGATATGGTTTTTAGAGTTGAATTTGTTCTAAACAAGTATTACGGTTACACAGCCGCAGGGAGTCCTATGATCTTCCTCCGGCCTGATGGCGACACAAGCCTCATCCGTTTGGTTGTCTTGGTAAATGGTGGCGTGCCTAAATTTTGTAGATGTTTGTACTGATCTAAATTGCTGTTTTTTAAATCTATTTTGTAAGGTGAGGCCAGATGATATATTAGTTTGAGTTCAATTGTTACTTCAATGGCTTGTTGCCTGGTGCATAACTTTCTATTGAAGTAGTTGGACAGTCTCTGCCTCAATGAGGAATTGAGCCCCCATTTGCCTCGTTCGTCTATGGCACGAATGTAGCGGCTTTGAGATAGCCTTGTTTATTTTGAAGGCTATATATATTTAAATCTAAATAAACTGTTGGAGATACAAATTTTTTGGCATGCATCCGATGGTTTATGTAAATCAAACTTTCACTAACTATATATGCAATAAAAACCCCTTACTTATCATACCATTGTTGGTAGATTAGATTAGTTCATAAGTGTATTGACTCCAACAACTAATATGAGATGTGATCTTTTTCTGCAGATCTTCAGTACTTTCTGACATTTTGAGGGAGCCGGAGGTCATTCCTTCCCACTGGATAGTAATATTGAACAATGATGTCCATATACACTTTCTAATTCCTTCCCACTGGATAGTGATATTGAATAATGATGTCCTGTTATATACACTTTCTAATTTTTCTTGAACACTATTAGTTGGATTTTGATATTGAACATTGATTTCCCTAGAATCACGATTGATGATTGAGTTACTCTCAATTCTGATTTCACGTTTGATATATGCGTATCCTGTGTGCTTTTGTTAATGTTCCAATAGAAGCCTCTTTTCTTTGGATTTTGGATTGGGAATACCAGAGGTGGGGATTGGCATCTAATGACACCAACCCCTGCAAATTGACCTGTGTGTTATTTTTCAAGTAATGGATCCTACGACATTACGGATCCGGAGAAGTAACTCACATGCGCACAGCATTGTAAGACTTCCATCGTGATTCCTTCGTGACTCATGAGTCATGATCAGGCGAAGTGACAGTGCACTTCCCTTCGGGCACACAGCATGCTACCTTATGACTACACTACATAGTCCATAAACCAAATAAATGTGTTCTCTCATACTATTACTCTAATCAGGAACAGAAGCGGGAATAAAGAGGGAAGTTAAAGTAGCAAACACAAATGACCGGTGTTGTAGATTCTTTTACTGTTTCTCTGTTCTGGATTAAAATGACTCGAGAACTGCACGAACTTCCATTATCCATGGCCTTTGAATTTATTACATGACTTATAAATCCAAAATAAAGTCAGAGACAACAAATCTATTATAAATAAACTGCAGTAAAATAAAATATCAAATATTAGGTTGCAAAATAATAGCCTCGCCGTTAATTAATCACCAGATCAATCTTGGGAGGTACCTTTCCCTTGAGCTGTTGCAAAGCCCGTTCTTTAGGTTCCTCCACTTTTTTCAACCCATCAGAGCCATATTCTTCATCACAAGGATTCACTACCAACTTCTCAAGAGCAATCGCATTGTCGATAAGGTAATTCACTAGTTCGAAATCACAAGGTCGACCATAATAATTATTAAATTCAGCCTCCTTTAGGTACCGATGGGGAGGTCTAACGACTCTTATCAGTTCTCTCTGCCTGCACAGCATGTCCATCGGGTCCGTCAACTGTGGCAAAAGAAGAATGCAGTATATCATTAATCAGCAGAAGACATCATTGAATTAAAAAAATGCCAGTGGAAGAGAGAACTTGCAAAAATAAAGTACGTCCTTGTGGATTGTCACAATGAGTAGATACTAATCACAGTGTTACAACTCACCCATGAGCAGAGGCTCAAGTAAAATTCAACCGTGGCTTGGATTGTTATATTCAATCTTACTATGTCTGTCTAATGCCTATAGATGAAGACTTAGATGAGGCCCGAAAACACACCTCTAACACAAAACTCCGCAAGCAGGGGCATGCCTCGATCACAAGAGTCAACGGAAGTAGACTCGCATCTCCAAATCCATCAACTCTCAGTTCCAATTGCTTGACACTTGTTAGCTTAGGCAATTGACGAGTCCGTACGGTTTCCTGTATATTAAAGAGAGAATCAAAGGCAACCCAGATTATAATGAGGAAGTAACTTAGGAAACCTTATGAAAATCAGTCAGTGCTCTTACACGGAGTGGTGGGCAAAAATCAAGTTTCAGAATCTGCAGACAAGAAAGACTTGAAAGCTGAGACATGGTCACATGCACACGTTCGAATCTAGATCCTTCAACAGACACCTCGGACAGCCGGGGAACCTTGTCCAAAAACAATGGAATTTCCTCTCCTATTACTATGTAAGCGAAGGACACAAGATTCGTGTCATAAATCTCTACGCGTTGAAGATCCCGACAATATCCTATGCGCAAGTGCTTCAGCTTCAGTGATTGGCCAGAAACTCTAAGCCTATTCAAAGTAGGAGCATGCTCCAAAACCAATTTCTCTAGAACCGGACAGTTGGCAAGCAGTTGCTCTATGAGTTCTCCCTCCACACTTACTCGATTCAAGGACAGCTCTTCGAGATACCTACAGCCGACATGCCAAGAACTTGAAGGGCTCAAGCCAAAATTACTTCGACCTGAGGCCCTCTGCGAGCAGCCTACATCAGCATCTCTAAGTGTCTCATGCCCTAACAGATATGGCAAGCGACTAGGGTCACAATCAGGATCAAAATCCTTGAAACATGCAGGCTCGAAATCTAGTTCGAGAACTTTAACTTGCTTTGCCAATGCAAACCTAATCCACCGATCGATGCAAGACTTATATAAGATATTCATGTCAAAGCGTAACGCAAATCTACGTAAAGCGTGATCTCCTCCACTTTGACGATGCACGACATTGTCCACCCATTCCACGTATCTCGCCCTCTCCTTTTCTGCCAATTCGGGGTTATCTTCCATCTTCTCCAACAAGTCCAACCAGTCGAAATCAAGGTCGGTGACCACAGAAGTGCACAAGTGCCTCCATCTCCTGGAAAGAACACAAGTCGCTTGTGCTTCTCTAAATGTCAATCGAGATAATATACGGCCTATAACTTCTTCGGGCAAACAGCTGATCCGATCCTAGATTGAGTTTCGCCAGAAGAAAAAAACAAACCAAGTAAGAAAAATCTGGAAATAAGAATGAGGGAAAGCAGAGCAGGGAACATTCAACATCAAAAATCGAAAAAAAAAAAAACTCAACTTTGGCACAACAACACCGAATCCATGGCAAAAGCAGCTAAAAGACCTCGGTTATCTAAGCTTCGGTGACGAGATAACGTACATTCTAATTAACACAACCGCTGCCCCAATCAGCCAGTACATTCAACTGAAGATTTTCAATGATCGACGACGGGCATAGCCACAAGGAAACGAAACGTGCATCCCTCCCCTCAGCGAGCGGAGAGAGGTGTATCCTTCCGTGAAGAACAGGTTTCGAGCTCAAAAAAATCGAAACTTTAGGCGAATTCTTTACCTTGTCGTCGGATTTCGATTCAAATTCAGCGCGGGGTCTCTTTGGAGACGGAGAATCCATCGACGCCGGCGAAATTCAGCTTCAGTTTCGGCCAAATTCAGCTTCCCGATAGATTTCACATGTAGGGCTCCGGTATGTATATATATATATATATACACACACCAATAAATTAATAAGTAAATATATTATATTATATACGAATATATATATGTATGTATATTCATTGTGACGTCACGTGATTAGTATCTACCGGATGCGTGGCAATCCACACGGACAACCCGTATCTTATCTTTGCAAGTTCTTTCTTCCACTAGCGTTCTCCATGCACGCTTCGCTCTAGATCCGAATTCAGAGACCAGTAGGTAATCAATTTGCCTGTATAAAGATTCGTTTTTTGAGCTTGCAACTAGTTGTTCAGGAGAAGAAACTCTCTCTCTGTCTCTGGCTAGATAAGCAAAGGATACCACTTTCTTTCTTTCATCTTTCGAGAGTTGGTCTTGCCTTTTTCTCTTCTATTGTCCCCGAGTTCTTTCATTCTTTTTTAGAGATGTTTTTGAATTTAGCTGCGCCTTAGATTAGCATACTGGGAAAATTTGGGTTGGATATTTTGTCTGATGGAGCAAAAAGAATGGTTTTTTCTCCCTGAATTAAGTATTCTCTTTGCCGGTGAGGTGTGAAAGTCGAGATTTTTCTTTAACTTTTTCTTTTTCTGGGTGAATTAAATCCCAATTCAAAGGATTGAATTAGTTGACGGCCGGATGAAATTATGGGTCTTATACCGTTTATATTGACATTTAAAGAAGCACATGCAACTAATTGCGGACTTTGGTGACTGACCTTGATATGGATGGGCTCTAATTCATTCCACGAGATGAGAGCTAGTCTGGATTCGCGAGGGTGAGATACATGGAGTGGGTGGATAATGTTTTGTAACAGTAAAATAATTACATAGGGCACCGCCCTTCACATAGATTTAGGTTGTCCTTTCACCTGAATGTCGAATTTCAGTCTTGCATCAATCGGCGGATTGAGTTTGCACTGTCGAAACAAGTTAAGGTGCTTGAACTAAATTTGATTCCCAAGTGTCCTCTGGATCCTGCTCTTCATGCCCTAGTCGATCACCTTATATATTGGGTCACGAGGTAATTGTAGATGCTAATGCAGAGGGTTCATTGTGGGATTCAGGTTTCAATAATCTTAGTTTGAGCTCTGTTGGCTTTAGAAGACCTCTACTTCAAAAGAAATTCCGCTGAATAGAGAATCTAGAATGAGTGCATGTGATCATGTCTTTCTCGTTTGCATTCTCAAACTGTGAATTTTCTTGTCCACTATGTGTAAACATCAACTAATATCTGGTTTCAAACTTTATTTTTATTCATTTGTTTTCTGTCACCCTCCTCCCTAATGACGCTGCATTGCCTGCATTTGATTCAGTCGGGATGTCTAAGGTCTCAGTGTCATGCAATTGGAGGTCAGCCTTGTAGGATATGAAGAAAATAGTCCCCTTCCACTATCTCTCTTAATCAAGGCAATTTCAGTTGACTATTTGTTGTGGTGGGATAGAATCCAAACCAGATCACTATTAAATTTTAATAATATTTGCTTGTCTGTGCATGACAATTCACAAAATTTTTCTTGAAATTTGTACTTTGATATAACTTCGATGTGTTGATAAATGGAATACATTTACTTCCTTTTAGGAGTTTTGTCTTGCATTGGCATTTGGCAGTAAAATTTCCGTTGCAGTGATTAACATAGGCAACCCAGCGACGACCATCCTCACTTCTAGAGTTGAAAATATCGAAGAGGGCAAGAGAACATGCCAAGTGACGGCTTGAGGTAAAGCTGCCTGGTCAAACTGTTGATTTCTTGGGAGTCTCGGAGCCTCATCCACACTGCAAGGTGAAAGATTTTTTTTGAATTCTGCAACTTATTCCATAACCCTGATAGAAGACGTTCATTTTATTTTGATAGCACATTTTTTTATAAAATTAGTTTGGACATGTCGTTATCAAAAGTTCAAGGCTTGTGATAGTACTTGAGGGTATAATTGCTCTTTTTTTCTCTAAGGATTTACCACACCGCTGAGTTAAAAGAAAAAACAACGAAATTGCACTTTAGCTCTCTTATCTACGAGTGGTAAGTCATCTGCTAAATATCCCTAGCATATATGGATTCTCCGTCTCCAAAAGAGATTCCACTCTGAATCTGAAGAAGATTCTCATGACAAGGTAACGAAGTTTACTGCAAAACTTCCACGT